GCAATTTTATCAAAAAAAAATAATAATTTAAATCACAGAAGTGAGAGAGCAAAAACAGAGTGAGAGAGAGAAAAAAACACCAAAACAAAAACAGAGTGAGTGAGAGACAAGAAGACAGAGAGAAGAGGATCCCCAATCTTCGCCATGGCTGGGTTTTTAAATCTCTGCCACGGCTGTTTTGATTTATATATATATCATCTCTATGTTTTATATATTTGTTTGTTTTGATTTATATATATATATATATATAGATCTAGAAGGAAAAGAAAGGAAGAAGAAAAGTAAGGAAGGAGAGGTGCGATGGGGGAACCGTGTGGCAGTGGCGGCAGCGCGTCGGGTGGAAAGGGGCGGGGCGGCGATGTCCTCCTCCTCTTCTCTCCTTCTCTCAGTGGGTTTGCGTAGTTGTTTAAGTAATTTTACCCGATTGGAGCTTCAAATACTCAATAACCCATTCCATTGATAACAACACTGTGTTTGTGTGTTTGAATGTTGTTGAATAAACCAGAATCATCAATAAACAAACTCAACAGGTCTCTCTCTCTCTCATCAAATTACACACTTTATTGAAAATTATGTTAGGTGGATGTTTTGAATTAAAGCTTCTAATGCGGCTCTGTTTATGAAGCAGCAAAACCCTTTTTGAATTGAAAGAGAGTCGCAGACAGGTCTCTCTCTCTCTCTAATGTTTTGAATTGAAACAGAGCTTCTAATCCTTCATATTTGCAGGAACTTGGATGTTTTGAATTAAAGCTGTTTCTTCTTTTCTTCTTCTTTCTCTTTTTTTTTTTTTTTTTCAAATTATTCACCAAAACGACGTTGTTTTGGTGAGATTTAATTTCCACCGTTGGATGAATCACTCTAGAGATCACTTGAGGGTTTTCACTCTAGAGGATCCGCACGCCTTCATTAGGCGTAAGGATCCTCTAGAGTAATGGGTGGACAAATGGCCACCTGGGGTTTTGAGAACACTAGATAACTTTCACTAACTACACAACAAAAGTAGCTAACATTTTCTATGCAAAATTTCTCACCTACATTATTGATTGGAAGCACCACCAGAACTAGAATATGTCATAGAGTATTCTGGAACGGCTAAATATATACAATAAAATCTACTATTTTAGTTTATAATTTCAAAATTTCCACCATCACATCAACTTCAATGAGGATTTTTTAAAAATATTTAATAAATCATTTTATTAATTATTATATTAATATAGTTTGTTACCAACGCAGAATACACATAAATTAATAATATTTTATAAAATTTACTAGTAAGATCTCCTTCAAAAAAAAAATTTGTCCATCCATATATATCTATAATTGATTTCTGTCTTCTGGACTTTATTTTTATCAATAAGCTGCCACAAAATAATCATATGAATTAATCAAAAATGCAGCAAGTAATAAATTGCTATTAAATGCTAATGCATTACTTACCCTTGCAAAAAGTTTCAGGTGTGTCACAGATTTCCTTCTTGGGTATATGTATGGCATGATGATGACAGTGATGGTCATGATTTATTGCCTTTGATTCCTTCAGACGTTCTATGTTGTTGTCATGCTTCAGCCGTAGTATTGCACATGTAAGATTGTCCGTTATGTATTTCCTGTCTTTCTTCATCCCTCTGTCTCACCCATTATCCCATCCATACCCAAAAAAAAAAAAAAAAAAAAAAAAGGTTTAGTTGGAGTTGAATATGCTTAAACAGTTTGGAGCATTCTCCATCAAATTTTTATGTTTTTTTTTTCAAAATACTGATAGTCATTGAATATGTCTTGAAATTTTTATATTCATATGATTATGAATATTTTGAGGTAGGATGAACAAAAAGATTTAGGAATAAAGGATTCTATACCTAAATTTAGAACTATGTTATAAAAGTTTCTGCACTTGGCTTTTCTCATATCGACTATAACATTAATAATTTTTCTCACGTGTAACTCTGTCTGGCATTTGGAAAGAAAAACAGAATTAATTGAGTGCACAATGATTTATATGATACTATTAAATCCTAATAATCTTAAACATCGGATCTTGTATCATATTGTATTATTAAGAGATCGAAGAGAGCTGTATACCTGAATCCATTATGACGGTTGGGCGGAAGCGTGATTACGGATAGTCTTTCAATCCTTTTCTTTACTTTAATGCCTTTTGTTTTCTCCAAGAGAGGATTTGGAGAATATGTATTTGTTGGAAAAAATTGGAGACCATTACCCCTAAATGTTTATAGTTTTTCATCTGGCGGTTGGGCAGTTAGAAACTATCATAATTTTTCTTTTCGCCCCTTGAGAGGGTAATTTGTAAACAAATTGGGTCGAGCTAGGAAGAGTCTTCTTTGGGAGTTGGGCCGCATAATGAGCCGAGATAAGGGCTAGTGTAGCTCAGTCTTAGGCCAAGAAGACATCTCATATTTCGGGTTTGGGCCGAACTATGGGCCGAGGTAATTATTTATGTAGCACGGTCCTTGATCATCTAAACATCGGGCCGGTCAGAGATGGGCTACCAGTGACCTAACCTAGCTATCTTGGACCGAGGTATTAGTGGAGGGAGAACCGAGCTAAAGGAGAGCTCTGCAGGGCGTCATCTCAGAGTTAAGACTGACAATGGTGCTTTAAGTATCACCGAGCTATGTGAGCACGGTTGATCCCAATGTCAGCCGAGGTAAGGGTTCAACCATCTCACTTGGCTTGCAGTGATGAGGGTGTTTTAGGGATAATCATTATCCTTGGGCTTGAGACTCCTAGGAGGACTCTGCTAAGGAGAGTAGAGTCCTACTAGGATTATGCAAAACCATCTCACTTGGTTGGTAGAGAGTAGGAGTGTGACTCCTAGGAGGACTTTGCTAAGGAGACTAAAGTCCTACTAGGATTGTGCAAACCATCTCACTTAGTTGGTAGTGAGTAGAGTATGTGATTCCTAGAATGACTCTTATAAGGAGAGTTGGAAACCTACTAGGATTGTGCCAAGTAAAGTTTATAAAAGCTCATGACCAGACCTATGTGCAGGTATCTCAATTCTTACTCTAGAATACACAGAGCTTATTGTCTATTATCTAGTTGTTGACTTAGGCATCGGAGGGGTTTGCGGCACACACCCGCCGGTTAGTTCACGTTTGTGTTTTCAGGTAGCAAAGCAACGTTGTTTGGAGGAGTGCAAACTTGATCAACAGGATTATACGAGAAGATTATTTCGCGCTCGTACAATTGGCGCCGTCTGTGGGAATTACACAAAGAACAAAACCTCTTGATCAAGCTCTCCTCTCTAGTTGGAAGCAATGACGCACAATGAAGACTTGCCGCAATCAGCTATTAATGGGCAAACCCCAGAGGGGAGTGGGAGGCGCGAAGGTGTACCTTCTATCTCACCCATGGCGGAATTAGATCCCCAGCAAAGGAATTCGCGAAGAGAAGTGAAAGAAAGACGAGGCTCAAGTCCACAACACTCTCAAAGCCCTGATAAACAGAGGCGGAAGATGGATCCTCAGGTTCTCGAAGATCGCGTAAGGGAGCAAGACGAAGTAATAAGAAGAATGGCGGCTGACATAGAGTTTATGAAGAGCCAGATAAAAGGCAAAAAGGTGGCAACAAAAGAGGGACGCAAAGGCAACACACACTCTTGCCACTCAGAAGATCGTGACAGATAAGTCACACCATCACAAACTGAAAGTAGAAACCTCAGGTCGGGCGATACACAATCAAAGAATTCCAGGACACGCTACTCCAGGCCTGAGAGAATGAGGACTGAAAGGGCTCAAAGGAGAGAAGACACTTAGGCTCGCAACCCCCGTAGAGTCTTCGCACTACAACGATTGGCTCCTAGAACACATGGGAGTGTCGAGGTTTGAAAGGTTGCTAGAAGGTAGCATAACTTCGTGGGTGCAACTAGCGAAGGCATTTGTGACCAGATTCAGAACGAACACTAAGACACCAGTGGAGATTGACCAGCTTCTCTCCATAGACATGGGCGAGAAAGAAACATTGAGGTCTTACAATAACCGGTATTGGGAGACTTTTAATCAAATTGGAGATTGCCCTACAAATCTAGCTACCGCACAGTACAAACGAGGTGTGCCGGCTGGCAATAAGTTGAGGAATTCAATGACAATGACGCTGCCCTTTACTATGGAAGCCCAAATAGAGAGAGTGCACCAACACATCCAGATAAAGAAAGATGGGGCGTACACCAAGGCAGAGTCCGGCGCAACAGTGATACCAGACAAAAAGCCTTTGGCGAGAGTTAACACGGTTGACAAGTAGGACTGACTGCGCAAAAGTCTTTGCCCAACTGGGGGCAAAGTGGGTTGGCAAATTTGATCAACTCTTTCTAAATAAGTCTTTGCCCGACTGGGGGGCAACAAAAAAGGTTGGCAGGTTTGACCAATACCTTTTTCATTCCTAAGCCGAGATAAGGATCTAGGTTGTAGGAAGTTGGCAGGTTTGACCAACATTTAGCTCTCTTCAGCCGAGATAAGAATCTAGGCTGAAGAAGGTTGGCAGGAATAACCAACATTTAGCTCTCCTAAGTCCAGATAAGGATCTAGGTTACAGAAAGTTGGCAGGTATGACCAACAAAACTTTTTTGCAGCCTTTAGCCGAGATCAGGATCTAGGCTAAAGGCGGTTGGCAGGTTTGACCAACAAAACTTTTTTGCACCCTTTAGCCGAGATCAGGATCTAGGCTAAAGACGGTTGGCAGGTTCGACCAACACTTTTTTGCACCCTTTAGCCGAGGTCAGGATCTAGGCTAAAGGCGGTTGGCAGGTTTGACCAACAAAAACTTTTTTGCATCCTTTAGCCGAGATCAGGATCTAGGCTAAAGGTGGTTGGAAGGTTTGACTAACACATTTTTTCTTCAACCGAGATAAGGATCTAGGCTCAAGAAGGTTGGTAGGTTTGACCAACCCTTTTCATTCTTCAGCCGAGATAAGGATCACGGCTCAAGAAGGTTGGCAGGTTTGACCAACAAGATTTTTTGACACTCTTTGACCGGGATGATAGTTACTTCGGCCAAAGCAAGTTGGCAAGTTTGACCAACAAATTTTTGAACGATTTGACCGGGATGATAGTTAGCTCGACCAATGAAGATTGGCAGGATAAAGTAAAAGCTGGTGAGCCCGGCCAGACATGCAGTTGAAATAAAGCACTACAATGAAGGAAAAACAAGGGACCGAGCTCGTATTTTAGCTTGGTCAAATTAGGCATTTCTTAGCTCAGCTGAGGCCAAGGTACGTATCTCGGCGAAGCTAGTGAGTTCGACTGGACATGCAGTCAGAATGATGCAAAACATTGAAAAAGAAGCACAGTAACCGCACCAAGAGATCGAAATTTTTCATTAATTGGAAGATGATTACAAAATGTGGGACATATAGCCCAGTTACACTAAAAGAACGCCTTCTCATATGATTGCGAACTCGAAGGATATAAATATTGAAGGCAAAATGGCGAGGCTGTTCAAAATTTTGAAGGTACATGATGGTTGTAACAAGAGAACGAGGATAATGTGGGTGCGCTACGTATCTTGGGAATGACGTCGTGCCAAATTAGTGGAAGAACATGTTGAGCAATTGACAAGGCTTATTGGGGACGAACGAGCTATGAAACCAAACAACTTTTTAGCTTGACAAAGTGAGGTATTTTTAGCTCGACTGGAGGAAAAATAATCTCAATTATGCTACGCAGATGGAATTAAGGGGCAATTGAGAGGGTAATTTGTAAACAAATTGGGCCGAGCTAAGAAGAGTTCTTCTTTGGGAGTTGGGCCGCGTAATGAGCCGAGATAAGGGCTGGTGTAGCTCGGTCTTAGGCCAAGAAGACATCTCATATTTTTGGTTTGGGCCGAACTATGGGCCGAGGTAATTATTTATGTAGCACGGTCCTTGATCATCTAAACATCAGGTCGGTCAGAGATGGGCTACCAGTGACCTAACCTAGCTATCCTGGACCGAGGTATCAGTGGAGGGAGGACCGAGCTAAAGGAGAGCTCTGCAGGGCGTCATCTCAGAGTCAAGACTGACAGTGGTGCTTAAAGTATCACCGAGCTATGTGAGCACGGTTGATCCCAATGTCAGCCGAGGTAAGGGTTCAGCCATCTCACTTGGCTTGCAGTGATGAGGGTGTTTTAGGGATAATCATTATCTTTGGGCTTGAGACTCCTAGGAGGACTCTGCTAAGGAGAGTAGAGTCCTACTAGGATTATGCAAAACCATCTCACTTGGTTGGTAGTGAATAGGAGTGTAACTCCTAGGAAGACTCTGCTAAGGAGACTAAAGTCCTACTAGGATTGTGCAAACCATCTCACTTGGTTAGGGTGTGTGATTCCTAGAAGGACTCTTATAAGGAGAGTTGAAAACCTACTAGGATTATGCCAAGTAAAGTCTATAAAATCTCATAACCAGACCTATGTACAGGTATCCCAATTCTTACTCTAGAATACATAGAGCTTATTGTCTATTGTCTAGTTGCTGACTTAGGCATCGGAGGGGTTTCCGGCACACACCCGCCAGTTAGCTCACGTTTGTGTTTTCAAGTGGCAAAGCAACGTTGTTTGGAGGAGTGCAAACTTGATCAACAGGATTATACGAGAAGATTATTTCGCGCTCGTACACCCCTCATAGAAATAGAAATTACATAATGGTATCTACACATGAATTCCATGACAAACATGCCCTTAAGCCTACTTATAACTAAATTAGATTACTTTTAAGTTTAAGCTTCTTATAAATGATAACACACATCTAAATATGTGGTTCCAATTAAAAATTAATCCAACAATATATAATATATAATGAGAGAGACAAGGTTTGAACTTATGACCTCTTGGAATAAAAGTAATATAATGTTAAATCATCAAATATTTCAAAAATATAAAATGCTAGCTTGGACTCAACCTTAGCAGTTGTTCAGAAAAAATCATACAGATTTTTTTTTTTAATTTTCTTATCATCATTAAACACAAGACATAGTGTCATGTAAGGCTCCGCTTGGCAAGAGTTTTTTTTGGCTATTTTAGTCATAAAAGATAAAATAAGTTATTTTAGTCATAATAAATAAAACATCACATCTAACCCATAATCATTACACTCTTTTCTCACAAAAAATATTTAAAAAGCCAAAAAATCCTTTCCAAATCAAGTTTTTTAGCCCAACCTAAAATAGTTTAAAAAGCTAAAATATTAAAAAGTCAACTTACTTCCCAAATGGAGGCTTATTAATACGGCTGACAATAAAAACAAATAATTAATTAAAATTTTCTTTATTTTTGTTGCATTATACCAAGATTGCATGGGGAAGTGTGCTGACCTGTCAAGAATTACAGTGGTTGCTTCTAAGTTCTTGGCAGCTTGTACAGCTGCTTCTTTCAATGATTTTCCTGTTTCCATTTTTATTTGGAATTGAATCTGCATATTGCCCAAAATTTAGTATTATTAATATATAAATATATATATATGGAAACTGAGAAAATTGAAAATTTAATAATATGGTTTATTGGTTGGATTTGCTTTTTCCATTTCATGCTATGTGATGAAGTTTAACAGGCTTTCAAAATGTCTACAATTGAACTCTCTTTATTTACAAATCTTAGATAAGTTCATGTTTATTTTTAGAGAAAAAAAAATAAATAAATTTGGTATTAGTACATATATATGTTTTAAAATTTTATTTTGAAAACTAATGAGATAACGGGTATGTTTGGTTTGTATTTAGGAGATGAGTTTTAGAAAAAAAAATTAAAAAAATTGTTTGGTTTGAGTTTTTCTCAAAAAATTTCTAAAATCACTTTCTCTCTCTTACACATCAATCAATCACTTTTTCTCTCTTCTCTCTCCTTCTCAATTACTTTTTCTCTCACACACATCTACTCAAATTTGCCTAGAATATCAAATCATCCGAAACTCCAAAAAAAACAACTCTCCCAAAATATACAACCAAACAAACCAAAAAAATGTCTAAACTCTCTCCCTAAATTTTTTTTCAAAAACAACTCTCTCAAAAACAAACCAAACAAGCCCAACATGTCTGGAGATAGTTGTTGGGTAAAAGTGATCGGAGAGAGTTGTCAGAACTGGTGATGGGTGGTGGATAACAAAATTATAATGCTTAATTTTCTTTCTTCAAATGGGATTAATTAAATGACAAATTTTGGAATATAAGCACAGCTATCACTTTAGCTCAAAATTTTTTTAGACTTGTACTACTGCTATATTATATGGTTTAATTTAAATAAACGAAATTATTGGGGAAAAAAATTGGGCAACTAAGAGAATAAACACAAAAAATAGGTCACTTTGTTTATTGGTCATAACTCTTGTTTCATCATGAGGTCAAGAGTTTGAGTCTTCCTACTTATGTATGTTCATGTTTATTCCCTCAGTTTTTATTTGAAGTCTCTCTCTCACTTTGGAAGTTTTTATGTAATTATGATTTTATATTGTAATTAATATTCTTGGGGAAATTATTAAAAAAAAATTCAGTATTTGATCCTCATAACAAATAAACCTTCATTTTTTTATTTTATCAATTTAAATCCTAAAATTTTTATTTATTTTTAATCTAAACCATATGGCTATCTCTGTTAAGTAAAATTGATGAAAAATTATATATTTTAATCATTAAACTCAACGAAAAATGGTATTTTAGACATTTATTGAATTTAGTAACTAAAATACTATTTTTTTATCAATTTTATTTAACTAAAATAGGTAATGGTTTAGATTGAAAATTAATCAAAAGTTGTATCTATCTTATAACCATTTTGTTTTCACCTTTTTTGTTTTTATTTACAAAAATTTAAAAACTAGCATAAAATTTTGTTGGGAGACTTATTTATAAGTCATTTTTCAGACACTTATGGTAGGTTAAGTCTTGTGTAATTTCTTTTAGAGTCTCAAGTCCTATTTAGATAGGAATGTATTCCACAAGATCCTACATAAACGTAACGTGACGTGACACTTACATAAACGTAACGTAACGTGACACCTATATAAACGTAACGTAACGTGACACCTACATAAACGTAACGTAACGTGTCATGTTATGTTTCGCAAACTTAATGAGTTTTTATTTTTTAAAATTGAATGTGAAAATGTTGCTGGTTTATGTTGGTGTCACGTTACGTTTCATATAAATATGATCTATGGTAACATTCAATTTCCTATATAGAAAATTGAATGTTGCCATAGATCATAGGTATCACGTTATGTTACGTTTATGTACGTATCACGTTACATTACGTTTATGTAGATATGATCTATGGTAACATTCAATTTCCTATATACCATAGATCATAGGTGTCACGTTACGTTTATGTATGTGTCACGTTACATTACGTTTATGTAGATATGATCTATGGTAATATGTAATTTCCTATATATGGTTTTACTATTATTTATGATATTAACAACTAATATTGAGAGAAAATGTGTCAACAAACTTCCTACAGGACTTATGGGAACATAAGTTTTTTTAGTAGAACTATATGTAGCATAAGTCTCCCTAATAGGACTTATAAATAATTTTCCCAATTTTGTTTGGTAATTTTTCTAGTTTATAAATAGTTAGTTCAGTTTATAGATTAGCAGTTATTTTCTTTTTCAAAAAAATATTTTATGTTATGATGTATATGTTATAAAAGAATAATTTTAATTTAAATTTAAAATTAAAGTATGATTCTAATTATTTATTTAAATAATATTAGCACTATCATTCTATAAAAGTGTTATTTGAATATTTGTATATAATAATTTTAGGTAAATTATTTGTGTATTTTGATAATTTTAGTCTTATCCTGCTATAAAAGTGTAATTATTATATAATGATTTTATATGATATACATTAAATTATAAGATAGTAAAATAAATACTAATTTTGATATTAATAATAATAGTTAAATTAGAAGGAGAATTAGTAACATAAATTTAAAAGTGGTTCTAATTATTTTATTTTATTTTATATTCATTTGGAAAATAAAAATATGTAAAAATAGAAAGTATATAAAATTTCTTTTAAAAATTAAATATAAATATGTTGTAGTTAGATTAAGAAAAATATATATGAATTAATTATGTAGAGTATTGATTTTTTTTTCTTTAATATTCGTTTTGAATTATTCATACATATTGTATATTGATATATAAAATTTAAATTAAATATAAATGTTCTGTAATAAAATTTTCATGTTAAATAGAAAATTTAATACAAATTAATATTAAGATATTAATAAGGTAGACAAACAATAAAAAATAATTTTAATATTTCAAGAAGAAAATTAATTCATAAAATATTAATTTTATAGGTAGTTCAGATTAAGTAGAATTATTTTACATATTCTATTTTAGCACTAATTAAGTATAACGGTATATTACTATGACATATTTAAAAAATATGATACGCTACATAGGACAGGACCATGAAAAAAAAAAAAAAAAAAAAAAAAAAAAAAAAGAAGAAGAAGAAGAAGAAGAAGAAGAAGAAGAAGAATATGCCACATAAGAAAGAGAAAAAAAAATTGAAAGTAAACACTATTTTTAATATCCTATATATATATATATATATATATGAATGACGATAAGGTTGAAAAACATAAACACAAAAAAGATGTTTATATTTTTTTAAAAATCAGTTTTTTTTTTTTTTAAAACTTTGTGTATTTACAATTGTTGGAGAATCCAATTGATGTTTAAATTATACCATGGCCTCTTTGGGCAAGAGGTTAAAAATTAATTTTTTGATTTTTAATCTCTTTTAAGTCACATTTTTTTTACTTTTTTTACACATTTTTTCAAAAAAAAAGAAAAAAAAGGCTAGAAAACAAACTTTTGTGTCGCAAAATGAGTAGAAGTTGTACAATTAAACTGTAGTTGCGGTTTGTATTTATGTATAATTGTTGGCTTTTTTGGCTTTCGAAGGTTACTTTCGTAATTATGAGCGTGCCAGCAAGGATCAATCAGTCCTTACAGAATTGCCAAACAATTATTCAGACGATTGTGTTATGGTTCTTTCGGCCTCAATAAAGAGGACTTTTACTGGTGGCTTACTGGTAATTAAACTTCAGAAAATCTGAACATAAGAACAGTTAACTAAACTGGAGTATTTAATTAGTATAAAAAGAACTTACAATGATCTCAGTTCCGTAGAGAATTACAGCGGCAATATACTCGAAAACTACTCCTACAAATAGCAAGTGAGTGCAGAAACTAAAAATACAGGACTATAAAGGACAGGAAATGGAATATGTAAAGTGATTCTTTTAGATTTCCCCCCCCCCACTCTCTGAAGTCCTTCCTGCTATTTATACTCTCCAAAGATAACCATCGAATTGTACTTCAAACCGTCGAACTGCTCCTCCGTAGTTGCTGATCATCTCTACTTATAAGTAGTTCCACTACGCCTTCACTTGCAGTTAGGCTTCCCCCTTATATTCGAATTGAAATGTGAGCAACCGTTGAAGCCACGTCACTGTACGTCTCTTTGTTGATCTGCTACTACGCAATCTTATAACAACCAATATTAATTGCCACGTGGTACGATCAGGATCGAAGACCTACCTGGTCTCCCATATTACCCTCACTTCGCCACGCGTCGGATTGTCACTGGCTTAGTACAAAATGTTAGCCAACATTACCCCCGCACTAATATACCCAAGACTTGGTGATATTAGTGGATCAGAGTCCCTTTCCCCACGTCTTAGAACGTGCATGGGTTTTGCATCTTCCAGAAATGCAACTGTCACACCAACCATCTGTATTAATACTCTCGTCTTGATCCTTAAGTACTTTCACTGTCTTATTATTCGAACAGACTGATACATTTCATGGCCAAATTAATTCTTTCTTCCAATGATGAAGCATACGAAGAGTCATATGTCGATGCTATTCCTCGTCGAAAGCATGCATTTATTAGCCACCTTTACCCACCTTTCTATATTCAGGTCATGGACGCCTTAGCAAATTACCGACCTTTGGATTACGAACACATTGCTCTTAATCCTTTGATTCAGAAGGCTAAAATCAAAGACATAAGAATTTTCCCTTCTGACCTACCTTTACAGTTCGAACAATCAGCTCTCAAACCTCTGATTCGTAAAATTACAAATATGGATTTGAGCAACTCTTCTTCGCAAATTTCTGTATGGGATAAAGCTGCAGCTGCTTCCTCTTCTGGCTCTTCTGGAAGTTCTGATTGGACAAACTGGTCAGTACCTGAGACTCCTGATTTAAGGGAGCGAATCAACCACCATTTTGTTGAGTTCACTAACCCTTTAGAGTTTCCCTCCTATGCTCGAAGTTCAATTGTTTATCCTTATGTGCCCATTGACCATCGGCGTAGTCTGGAGGAGAATCTTCTTGTAGCATGGTATACATCTTCCATGCCTACAAAGATAGTGCACACTGCCCCACGC